ATTAAAGAATTAAAAGCTTTGTTTCAAGTGAAGNGGTTTAGATAACCTTCAGAATAAGAAATGCAAATTGTTATCTTGGTTTGGAAAAGCTATTATTGTTGCAAAATGTGAAATCGCATCAACAAATCCAAGTGATCTAGTGCATCATGTACCCCTTGGGAATAAATGTTGGTACATCGAAGTGGATTCGCTATAATAATAACAAATGTGTACTTAACTTCTTTTCTATTTCAATTCCATTTGCATTTACATTCAATCTCAATTCTCTAAAATCAAGAAGTTGATGGATGGTTTATTTGAATTGAACATCAGGTTTTTATTTGGATGTCAAAATGATTATTTATATAAAATGACATGAGATCATGACGGCATTTGAAGTTTTATGACTCTATATGTTAGTATTCTAGCCGTACCCTTAATCATTTTTTGGAAGGTTATGGTGTTTATAAATGAATTTCTATTAGAGTTCATATGTTAATCAAATTCTCTTTATAGTTTTACTGATAATATACCAAGTAATTACTTATCATATGTATTATGTTGATTAGATAAAATTTAATATATTTATTGATATTCTTTTGATTTACATGTTCACTCTAAATTTATTAATTATACCCTTATTATTTTTGTGGTTTGTAGGGAACTGATATTTTGTGGTATAGTTAAATTGTCTGTCAAAGAAGTTAACTTTGATATGGTTTAATCATTTTTTTTTGAAGTTGTAGTCTTTTGAGAAATTTTGAGATGAATTTTACATTGACATATTGTATTGAACGGTATTCAATATTTCTATTTATCGAAACAATGGAAAAAGTGTTGAGATTAACAGTTAACTTTACATTGACATATTGTATTGAACCGTATTCAATATTGTTATTTATCGAAACAATGGAAAACTTGATTATTTATTGATTAATTTTGTTTTGTAATTATTATAGATTTGCTTGTAATCAAATAAATAAATATTTTTAAAAAAAATTAAATTGCTCTTTACGGCGTGCTACTAAGCATGTCGTAAATTTCAACGTTACGACGTGTTAAAATATAAGCCGTAAATTTAATATTTTATACGGCATTCAAAGGCATGCCGTGAAAAGTATATCACATTTTACGGCATGCATTCACTGAACGCCGTAAAAAGTTATATACTTTTTATGGCGTGCAACGGAATGTCGTAGAAGTAATAACGATTTGCATTTTAACACGCCGTAAAAGGTGAGATACTTTCTATGGTGTGCAACGGAATGCCGTAGAAGTAATGAAGGTGTTCTCTATACGGCGTACTCTACACTCCGTAAAAAGTAACCAACTTTTACGACATCGCTTTATACGGCGCACTATTGTACGCAGTAAAGAGTTATTTACGACATACAATGGATGTCGTAAAATGTGAACTTTGTTGTATTAACTTGTGAAGAAAGCAGAGAATTTATGATCAGGTTCGAGAATGAGGCTGTAGAATTGGGCTCTAATGTAGCGAACCAATCTCTGGCGGCATTATTCAAAGTTTGAGGAAAAGCCTTACACATCACCGGGGTCTAGCGCAACCTGTAAGGTAATGACATCCTATATACGTTGAGGTGATTGGTGGGGTCTGTGATCCCATCGTACTCCTTTTATTCGGGAAAACTTGAACCTTTCAGGAAGTGGATAGAAGAGTAACTCCGGCGTAAATGGAGTGTTAGGGGTAAATCTTCTTATTTCCTGGGTATTCAGTAGCAGACCTGCTATAATCCCATCCCGTATGATTCGGGCGAGTTCGCCTGAGTGCATAATAACTAATCTCGAGGTCGAGACCACTATAGGTGCGTCCGAGGCACTGGATCCGCCATTATCATGGATGTCTCGAGTGACCTGAGCTCGAGCATCGGCCATGAAACCTCCTAGTGGTGTTGATGCTAGATGAGCATTTATTTGACTTGGCAATTGAGTCAGTGTGTTAACTTGTTGACAAGTTTTTCGAATGCTCTGACGGTAATCACTATTGGTTGGGGGCTGGTATTTCTGATGATTCTTCTTGGTGAATTAGGGGATCCACAATAGGAGGTGGATTAGCATGTTGGAAGAAGACCTGGACGTGTATTAACCATGGCTTTTTGTAGACCTTTTCACAGACTGCGCCAATGATGCTGCCAAAATCTGCACATGTGAATTCTCGTGCTTGATGATTGATGATGAGCACGAACAAAGCCTTTCGCCCCTCCGATTCTTAAGTTGGAGAGAATTTATGCGTGAGACTATAAACTAAAAATTATGTTAAAATGTACCTGGATAATGAACAAAAACTTTGTATTTACAGAATTAGGTAGTGGACTCTCAGTATGATTAGATTAGTTGAATATCCTTGTCCTTAAGAGTTCTACTTGAGATAGGTGTTGGGATTGCACTATAATTGCAGGTCTGATTATAATACAACTATAATATTTATTGAGATGGAGTCCTTCTAGACATAGGAGTCTTGGATTGAGATGTTTGGATAGGTTTAGAATCCTTAGAGTAGTTTCCTTTTGTGTTTAAACAGGAAGGTCTTTGAGTTTAAAGGGAAGTACTCGAGGACGCCATGTCCTTGGTTGGTCAAAATATCCCGAGGACTTACCCTCGAGGATGGTCGCTACCAAATATCATGAAAGTATGATATTAGTCCTTAGGGTATGTCCTAAAAACCCCATCATTCCCGAGGACTCAATCATGCTAAACAAGCATAATATAGTCCTCATCTCCCATATGCTCGATCTATGCAAATAATGATCATATAGTGATCCAACAAACATCACAGGCAGAATATATCTTTTAAAATGATCTAAAATATGATAATAAAGAATATATTAGTAAGAGATTTAAAAATTAAAAGAATGTTGAAATTCATTTGACGCGGATTAGACACTGTAGCATGAGCATTCGGACTGCATCTTCAATCGTAATTTTTCCATAGAGCTCAAAAGGATACGTGCCAACAACACACAAAATATATCACATATTCAGAAGAAATTCACTATTTTTTTCATATGGATTTTCCTTCAAGTTGAATCGATAAATAATTGTGTTCTTGGTTTCAGAGAATGAGAATTTGAGCAGAAATTATTTTCAAGGGAGGAGAATTTTAGGGTTTTGAATTAGAGCAATGCTTGATGTACATACTTGGGTGTACATCATGCATTACACTCCTCTCACAATGATGGGGGGCCCGCAATTTAAAAAATGGCAGGCCCCACACACCATTGTGAGAGGAATAGTGTACATTAAGAGTTACTCTTTGAATTATATATAGAGGAATAGATTTATGAGCATTGCTAGTAGTACATAATTTGGGTTACATAAGGGTTTCCACCCCCTCACATAGGGGTGGGACCCACTTAAAAGAAAATATTTTTTATTCACGTGGGTCTCACCCCCTTATGAGGGGGTGGATACCCTTATGTAACTTAAATTATGTACACTTAGAAATATCCTTGATTTATAACCCTAACTTGCACTACAATATTCTAGTGTTTGGGTCAAACTGTCCAGACTCGTTAACCCAATCGAGACAGAAAATGAGTACTCCGAATTCTTTTAAATGGGCTCAAGTTAGGTTGGAGCAAGAATTAGTAAAATTTGCACATTTCATCCCCCAACCTTTGATGACTCTTACTGATTCATTCCCAACCTACTAAACTGAAAGAAGTGGTCCCCCACATTTATTGACATAGCCAAATTTGGTCATGTTTCACGACATGACCCAATTCCCCACAATCACCGACCATCCTACATCATATTCCTTTCAGAATTAGAGGAATATATGTGTCCATGACCTAATTCATTCCTATTATTTTAATCGATTTATGAAAATAGTCACCAGTAATTAAATCGTAACAAATTGCTAAGAGAAGTTTCACCAAAATGGGATATCATACCATACTAACAAATCAATACCAAATCATCTAATTGGAAGAAAACTAGAGAAAATAGGTGGCTCAAAGATAAATGGCTCAATTGACATGCTTGAATTTCACTTATGTCATTGTAAAATTTGTAATCTATGTATAAAGTATGTATGTATATAACAAATGAGACACAAATATAAAGAAATTGTAAAAGTTAAAGGTGCGTTGTTAATTTAAAACGAATTTTAGAAGAGAATAGCATATGTATGTCTGTATGTATGTATGTATGTATGTATGTAACATATGAGACACAAATATAATGAAATTGTAAAAGTTAAAGGTGTGTTGTTAATTTAAAACGAATTTTAGAAGAGAATAGCATCCCAATGGATAAATACGAAGTATTTGATTGTTCAATGTAGACATTTGTACTACAGTTAGGATTTTGACAAAGAAATAAGGGTACTCATAAAGACTTCTTATTTTCTACCAAAAATGACAAATCCCAAGTTTGAGACCAGTCCATGCATTTTAGAAAGAATATGCTTCAGAAAGCATTTGACCCGCCCAAATTGTCGAATTGCTCATATGTAATCCGGTCCAAACTGGCATAATGAGCAATTTACCAAGTTTCAGGCTGGACCTACCATAGATATGCACAACTATGTAGTCAAATTCAGGGATAAATGGTCAGTTGCCAGAGGAGGATTAAGAAGAAATACATCTATCTGCTGGTAACATCAAATCATTTTTATTTTTTTTATTCTTTTTGCTCTTTACTAGTCAACAACATTCATAAAGGATGCGATGAACAAAAAATACTGTCACTATACAATTCATAATGTACACAACATATGCATTTAGACTCGAAAATGAAAAGGACAAACTGATCAGGCGAGTTAAACAATCATCCATTTAGCAACAAGACGTACACTGATGGCCAATGCAGCACATAACAAGGGAAGTGGAACCTTATTAACTATTGCAGTGTCTTCCCCTTCCTTTAGAGTCGAAGGGAAAGTGGTGAAAGATGGCCAATGCCAAATATGAACCCATCACCAATACTCTAACCCAAGGCTCTCCCACGACAAATAAAACAGCTGAAACTGGCAATGCAGAAGACACATAATCTCTCTTCTAGATAAACCTTGCAAAACCAAACAATCCCAGAAGTAACGTCCAGAAAAATGGCTCAGAGATATAGTTCACTACAGCAGCATAGCCGGTTAAGCCAGCTACTGTGAGAACATATGGCTGACTACTTACGGAGTCAGGGATAGTGGCTTCGGCAATAGTAAGTATAGCAGAAGTCAGTATGATGATTGTTGTCAGCTCTTGAATGGGAGCATATGCAATTATGCTAGAATAAAAAGCTCGTACAGTATAGAAAATAGTTTCAATTCCTCGAATTGAGGATGTGATTGGATCCCCAATAAAATGGTATATAAGAGCTAACATAAGTTTTGTAATGTAACCCAAGAATCCAAAAATTGCTGCTGCAGCTTTTTTCCAGTTAGAAAGTTCCCATAAGATAGTTCTCCAGGCATAGAGCATGAAAGCCAAAACTGCAGAAAATGTCAAATGATTTAGTATCCACACTCTTATAATTAAAGTTTTTCACAATACAATGAGAACACTCCAACAAGAAAAACAAATAGCTTTAGTGTGTACAGTCCAGTGCAAGGAAAACACCTCACAATGATTTGCAGCACCATTCTTCAAACCAACATGAAACGGACAAATCAAGCAGTCCCGCGCTCAAGCAAGATAATTGTGAAGTTGTCTCTCTTCACAAGCATATTGAGTGATAACTAGACTTTCAGGATTCATATCTTTTTGATGGATGGGAAACTTTAAGACTACGTAAACTGCATATGAGTTAGAAGAAAATTACCATGTGAGTATTACCAAAGTCCAGAGTAGCTTCCTGTTAACTCGTATATAAAAAAATATAAGACGTATATCTATTGTAGTAAATAAAAGAAGAGAAAAGTCCAGAGTAGCTTCCTGTTAACGCATATATAACAAAATATAAGACGTATATCTATTGTAGTAAATCAAAGAAGAGAACCTTACTGTAACGACCCGACCTCGCGCTGGAGCCGTTATCTTACGTACTGTCCGCTTTGGGAGAGCCTAGGCCCATCTTACCCCTCACGGCTTTCTGACGCGTCCCACAAGATTCGAACCCCCAAGACCTCCATCATATGGGAGATTTAAGTTGAATCCTAGTACCAATTGGGTTCGAATCTTGGGGGACACGTCGAAAGCCGTGAGGGGTAAGATGGGCCTAGGCTCTCCTGAAGCGGACAGTACGTAAGATAACGGCTTCGGCGCGAGGTCGGGTCGTTACACTTACAGTCGTCTCTTTAGTGTTTTGCTTTCCATTGTTTTAGACATTGACACGTGTACCTTTTTATCAACCATCAATGATAACAACCCATTGTAGTAGACAAATGACTCTATTACCCGCACCAAAAATGACAGCAACCATTCCAAAAGCATTGTTAAAGCAACCCATGCGAATCTTATGTTACATGTGTCCTTGTCTTAATCTTACATTAGCATTAATTTTAGCTCCTTAACAGTTAGTTCCAGCCTCTGACACAACTACTCACATACTAGCAATGCCTTAAAACATTTGCTAAAGAGGTAAGGAGTAAGTATCGAGACATTTTAAAGCCTACCCTGAGCTTCAAGACTTTTAGTGAAAGCCCCAGGTTAAGAGGGCCTCAAGGTGTAAACTCTCATATAGCTTTTTAACACAATGCATACTAATATTTAAGAATCATAGTTATAGTTTAAGTATTGAAAATTGTTTGGAGGTTTTGGATGGAAAAATTTAGGTGTTGGTACTCAGTACCCGCTGTCACCATCTTATATCAACCTATTCTTGATCCCAAATTCAAATAATTGACGGTAGCCTGTACCTTCTTCGCTATAACCCATTGGGTTAGTAAGTAAGATAATTCATTTATTTCTTAACAAAGAAGTACTTGTATGTACGCAGTAAATAGAATTTTGAGAAGCCTACTTAATTCTAAAGTGTCAGAGGGAGAATGATGGGTTTTAATATTTCGAAAGAAATCTAAACAAAAAGATCTATTTTTCCTTCAAAATAATTTTTTATCTACTCTCTCATACTTCTGAAATTAAGCTAATAACATGCATTAGGTGATTTACAATAACTAGGCAATAATTATGCCTCACAAAAATGACAAATTTTCTTTCTTAATTAATTTTAGGTTCTAATTCTTTCAATATAGGACTCATATTTCTCAATAAAGAAAATAGAGCTTCTTCAACTAAGCATATCCAGTTAAATTATATTGCGAGTATAAACATGCCGCATACAGGAAACTAGACATTATAAATGGACTCGTATGCAACACAGAATTCCACCTCACAGGAAGAAAAAAAACCCAATAATGCAACAAGAATTTGCACCTGAACAGTTTATGTACACACTTAAAGTATGCTATATAAACTTTTTACATATCGATGAACAAAGGCCACCTAACAAGCTTATCAGGAGCTTCTTTGGTCAAATATCTGAACCTTTCAGGCATAGTGCTTTGCCCACGAGCCTTCTCTTCTACTTTCTTATCACTCATATCAGTACAAATCTCATCTTCATTTAGTGCTTTTATAGTAAACTTAATATTTCTGTTTCTTTCATCAAAAGGGATCCCAAAATTCATCTTGAAAAGCCCAGAAAAATTGTGGGTGTTTTGGATTTTGATTTTCCTGAAAGACTCTTCATTTACTCCTGGTAAAGAGGAGTTTAACGGGATATAATTACCGGAAGTGCGAGTGAACAGTGAAATTCTTGGTGAGAAGGGTTTTGTGTTTCTTCTGAGGTGGAGAGAGTCGTTGACATGATTATTCGGGGCTTGGAATCAACGTAAGGATTAGATTTTAGGGAAATCCCATTACCTTAAAAGACTCTTGCCTCCCATTACTATTCATAGTTGAGTTGCACGTTTTGACACCCGACTTTTCTCCAAACTGGTTAACAAATATCTTCTTTTTGCTTTGCTTTCTTGCAACCTGTCTCTATTTCCATTTCTTTTCCCGTACAGACGAAAGCAAAGCAAACCTTGAAGACTCCACTCTATTCCTCCACTGCCCCGCCATAATCTTTCTCCCTTTCTTTAAAGAAATCTTCGAAACTGGTAAAGAAAAGTAGCATTCTTTGGTCCGGTGCAAGGCACATGAAGCCGACCGATCGGAGCCAATTGGGGAGTCTACACTGGCCCTATCTGAGGCGGTTAGGAGAGTGAAGAACGGAACTTATTTTGTCACTTCGTGGGCTCTGAATATAACCTTCATTTAATTTCTGTTTTTGTTTTGGTTCGTGGAAGGTTGAAACCCTTCTTGAAGATAAAATGCCCAATTTTCTCCAAACTCCATCTCCTAACAGTTACATCAAGACGACGTCTTCCAACAATAAGATGGTCTCGCCTCCTCACAACGTAGGGACATCTCCCAATATGAGAGGCAACCGTAAGTTGATACTTCAATATATTCCGTCTTTTCCTTCTCTCACCCCCAATCATTGACAGTCTTCTCCCCGGTGAACAATTGCAATGTTTTTCCTATGTGCTCGATTTGTTCTCTTTGTTTAAGATAAGACAATTTCAAGCGAGAATCTTTTGATTTTCTCTATTTATTTTGTTCAAAATTTTCCTGTTTGCTCGATTTCGTCGCTATATTTAAGGTTAAGCAATTTTAGTTGAATTTTTTTCCCCTTCATTTTCTGTCTCTTCTTGTGCATATTTGTACCATTTCTTCTACTTTCATTTGTATTTGCTCGATTACTTCTTTGTGTTTATCAATTTCAACGGACATTTTTTGTTATATTCAGTTCTGGCCTCTTATTTTGTGCATTTGTTCTGTTTCTTTCACCTCTATTTGCTTGATTACTTTTGTGTTTAGGATTTTATAATTTGCACTCATATTTTATGGTCAACAAAAATTGTTACTACAAGGATGCAAATGAATGAGAACTTAGCATTTATTATTTTTTGTGCAAGATTGTTTACTTATTTAGAACTCTTTTGAAATTTTGAGGCTTATTTAACATGGTTCAATTCTATTCCAACTGAAAAGTTTCCCTTGCATCTGTTAGTGTACAATTAGACAGTTAATTACCTTTTATTTTTTACTCTTTTGTCTGCTGGCACTATAGCTAACATTGAATTCATACAATTGGGAGTATTAGTAGAAAGAATTCCTTCTGTTGCCTATATTACCACTTCACTGGCACATAATTTCTGCTTTGTTGCTCCTGTGTTAGTTTAACATTAGCGAAGGACCTTCATTGACAAAAAACAAAGGGAAATTTGTTATATTACCAAAGTAATAGTAAATTTGTGCTCCCTTCTAGCTTGAAGTCATTATGACATGAATTAGATTATACTGAGTATGCTAAGTAACTTACTTTCTGAAATAGCAAGTCAAATAAAAAGAAGTAATTACGTGTTTGGCAAACATTAACACGTTCACTCGAAGTCGTTAAGACATGATATGTACTTAACTATATGTTCAATGGCAGGGGTTGCCTACTGGTTCGCCAATCTTTCTTTGACAATAATTCGAGGAACTTCACTGACGTTGGAGGAGGAGTTCTTGGATGTCGAGGATTCCACTCGAGTTTCCAAACCTCTCATGAAGGCTTGCCTTTGAACATGGTAAAACTTTGTTTGCATGTTTTTTTCTTCATTTGCTAATTTTAATTAAATCACCTTCCTGTTCAGTAATTTTGTTGTGATTGTTAATTATGATGTTATCCTTTCTGTTTTGTTTATAGACGTATCTACAACCATGATAATTCGGCCTGGTCTTGTGGTAGACTTTCTTATTGTAAACCGAAATGTGAAGGACCCCTTTTCTATTGACTTGGCAAAGGTAATGAACAATTCATTTAGGTAGTTGCATGTGTTTAATTGAACCACTTTCCTACATTAATAAAAGAGTGAAGGATTATATACTATTCATAAGCATTGTTCATAAGCACTGTTTATAAGCCACTGACTCGGCTCGGCTCGGCCCTTTTTTTTTCTTTTGGTTTCCAAAACGAGCCGATAGACTTTTAGTCTCAGCTCGGCTAAGCCGC